GGGGAGAGGACGGGAGACCCGTGTGACTCTGACAGGAGAGCCCATGGGTTTGGAATGTGCTGCTGTGGATTTCCTGTCAGTCAACGCATCTGAAATGATTCTGGTGCTTTAGGAATCCAGATCACACCACGCTTTGCCATGGATGTTTTGATCTAGTCATGTTCAGTTTAGTCATTTTATATTTGAAGGAATAAATGCATCCGGGGAACCCTAGTTGGATGGATGGATGGATGGATGGATGGAGCAGTAAATCTGTGTAAAGCTACTGCGTGTACTCTGACTATGCATTTTGGATAAAAGACGATAAACAATCAAGTCCTATTTATTATTTAAGGACTTCCTAGTTGATTACAGTGATGGCGTCTTATTTGGGCTGTTTGAAGCTGGCCCTCTTGTGCGTTTTTCAGACATTTTGTGAAAATGCAAAAAATAAAAATAAAAAATTTAAATTGGCAACAAATCTTAGCCCTTTGAATGTGCAACATATAATTCTTAACAACAGTTTTTATTATGCTAAAGACTGGACTTATGAGGTGTGCTTTAGATATAAACTTTAGAGTTACCAGAATTCAGCCGTGTATTGGCCAATTCCTGAATATTCTAGAACATGCTAGAATGTTCTGATGTTAGCTGCTACTCATCTGATGGCTGTTGGCCAGTTAGGCCTCCCCAGTCGAAATGCTGTAACACGGGCTTTGGCCGGCAAGCTCATGTGCCTAATTAGAATTTGAACTTCCATAATTGTAATGAGATCTTTGGCAGAAACAGACTGTGACCAGAAATGGAACCCATCTATATCTGCCTGGAGGTATTTTTTAATGAACAAAAAGCATATGTTTTTGCCAAATGTTTTGTGAACTGGTACAGGAGTAAGTCATTTTAATGCACTGTACGTGAATTGATATAGGTTTCTGTAAAACTTTTCCTCTCTGACTTTTTACAGACAATAGTGAATACGGTGACCGAAGCCATGTGAATTTAGGAAATGTGCAATCTAAATGAAAACTTCTGTTGAGCACTCACACACTGACTTGTATCTTGCCAACTTCTGTAGCAGTTCTGCAGTCGTCAGTTTCACAGCTTCTAAACGCCCATAGTGCCAGCAATCTTTCATAATACGCAGCACCTTTCTGTTGATTTGTGTTTTCACATATTCGAGATTTTGCATGCAAATGTAACTTTTTTCTTTTCCTTTTCCAAAATTAAAGCGTACCTGTATTTAGTACAGTACTAGCTAGTCTCAGAGCACAGTTGTGTCCCCACCTGTTGTGACAGTAGCATATTGGAGTTTTACTCTGCAGCCTAAGGTATGTATCTTGTTGACAGGTGACCCAAGGTTCAGCCTGCTGTTACAGACCTGTCTACCTCACCATACTACTTCATTACCAAAGTCTGCCATTTTAACCCTGCATCGATATCATCAGTAATATGACAGTATTTTCAGCCTTCATGATATGTCAGTTTTATCTGCTCCACAGTGTCAGACAAACGGGGCTCATTTCCACCACGTTGTCGTGACAATCGTAGGAAACTTGCCTGTTCTGTGAGTTACCCTGCGATGATGCCTTTTGTCTTCTGAATCATTTGCTGCCCCCCCTTGCCTGTAGCCATACATCCGCTCTGCTGGCACCCAGTGGGTTAGTGACCCTCGGAGCGGTACACCGCTGATGCCATTTTCAATGTTAGCTTATTGTTTGTTTTATTTCTTTTTTTAATCCTCCTCCATATGAATCACAAATTTATAATTCTGCTGAAAGCCGGAGCGCTGTGGTACTTTTTTCCTGCTAACCTTCCTTCATGTCTACTGCACAAAGGGGAAGAGACAGAAAGGAAGAGGAAAAATTAAGGACTGCTATTCCTGTTTTTGTCTCTCAGGTGAGTGAGACTGAGGTCAATGGCCAGTTTGAATCGGTATGCGAGTCCGTTTTTAGTGAAGTAGAATCCCAGGCTATGGATGCCCTGGACCTGCCGGGCTGTTTCCGCACCCGAAGCCACAGTTACCTGCGTGCTATTCAGGCTGGGTATTCCCAAGATGACGACTGCATTCCTTCAATGACATCCTCCACTGTCACTTCAACTCTCAGATCCACAACAGGTAACAGTATGCTTCAACCACCCCCCTCACCCCCCACCCCCCCAAAAAAGATCGAAGACTTAGAATACATACGTCCATACATACATGTGTGCATACTTAACATACATATATATGTACAGTGGGGTACCCCTGTGCTTGAGAAATGTTCGAGTGAGTCTTTTTTTCTTTTCTTTAGTTTTTTTTTTTTTTTTTTTGTTGTTTGTTCGTTCGCCAAGTGTTACCCCGGCGTTTGCTTGCAACTTTCCTCGTCTGTTTACTTTTGCACGATCCATGCATCGCTCTCCGGGCGTCTGACTGGACACGTGGGGTGGCGGGACGGGGCGGAGACAGGGCTTGTGCGGAACCGCGAGACGGAGGTCAGACCCCCGGTCCATCCGCACCGCCGGCGAGCCCCCTGCACAGCATGTGTGAGAGGCGCACTCTCTGTTCCGAGCATGTGCAAAAGCAGAACTTTCTCGAAGCTGAGGTCGGAATGTGGATAGCCCCCCTCCCCTACCTGGGCGTGGCACAGGATGAGGGGACCCGGCTTGGCAAAAAGCCGCAGTGCTGCAGACAGTTTTCAGTGAACCGCCCCAGGGGACTTTCCAGGGCTACTGCTCTGCTCTGTTTGTACGCAAGACGAGCTTCTCTAACTCACTCTGACTTGTAAGCCTACAGAATTCAGCAATGGGAATAGCAAAAACAGTAACATGTAACGACATACGGTAAGTTACCGTAAGTTACCGAGCTTCGGAAAAAGGCTAGCTGCTGGTTGCACAAAAAAAAAAATATTTGCTTGGAAGAAAGCTTGTTCTACCTACACTTCTACATAAACCTGTTTGGTCATTTGTTTCCTGTGTTGCATAAATCCTAGGAAGTAGTGTTTCTGAACATTAAAGATCGGATTAACCCTCAGCTAAGGTTCCACTTTTGCTAATTGTTTGTAATTAATAAATGAAATATTCTCATTTTTGCTGTCTTTTCGTTAATTAAATGCATTGAATTTATACATAGACTATAAAAAAAGAATAGAGATTATATTTTCTGCTTATAAATTTGAAGGTTTTTTCCAGATGATTTTTAGCTTTGCAGGCAGTCAGTTAGTCTCTCTATGTCTCTCTAACTGAGTTGGCCAATGTTAGTGACCTTTTTATTTTGACACAGTGCACATAATCCTGAAATTACTATGTACTGTTGGTTTGTAGCTTATCAATGTGATATCTTTATGAAAGAGATTCCTAGGTTTTCTGCAACACATTTTTTACTTTTATTTTTTGAACAAGTTTACTCTTTGCTAGTATGTGTACTGCAAACAAAACCTTTTCACAATAATATCAAGTTATTAGCTTGTGTGGTGTATGCCCCAAAGAGTAAAGCTATGAACCCTATTGAAATTGTACAAAAAACGATGTGCCAAGTGTAAAATTATTACATTTCTGCTTTTACGTACTTGAGTTGGTCCAGTTTGAAAAATGTATTTTTTTCTTATTTCATTTTTAAATGTGGGTTTGTTTTTTTTTCAATCTGGAATTTTATCTTGCATTGCTTTTGGATCTGATTGATTCAAATCCCTCTCAGCCAACCTGAGACTGACGGACAGAGGATCAAGGCTGCTCTCCAATCCCACTGTCTTACCAGCTGCATCCTTTCACCCAATGGGCTTTGCGCCCGAACTCTCTCAGCTCCTAATTGGTTCTGCTCTCAGAGTCACAGAATCTGGCTGTTACTTCCAGCATCCTAAGCTTCTGTTTTCTTTTCGCCTTGGAGTCTTCAGTTATGGTATACTCCTTTTCTGTTGGATATTAAACAAATATAGTTGTGGGTGTCATAAATAAATTAGCTATGGGGACTACCACAGAGAACATTCCAGACCATCCTTTCTGTAAATGGCGTTAAGCCTACGCATTTGTCTTTCGCTACAAAAAGCGGAGAGGAAGTCTGCTCCCATGAAATTTACGAAAACAAACCAGAGAACGTAAACAAATGGCTTGACGCGACAGTCCGGATGACCAAACATGACCTCCGTCACCAGTTCAGTGCACTACGTATAATCCATGCAGACAATCAGAACAGACACAATCGATACTCTGAACCTGAAACCAAAATCCTTCGCACACAAAAAAAAGTCAAGGCCAGTGGGCCATTGATTGAGGGAGGGGGGTAGCCCACCATACCCCCGAATCCAGAAGAGCCGCACCCCTCTCTTTTGGCCAGCGAATCTCTGGAAGGAGTACCAGAGGGGACGCCAGCTGGGGACATCACAGGTGCCTGTGACAGGTATTTTAATTTTCACACGCAGACATATATCTATATATATCTATGTATATAAGCATTCTATGTATATAAATATATATGCATATATGTGTGTGTGTGTGTTTTTACACTGCCTTCTCAACAAACATAGAGGAATTTATTTCTAACCTCCACTAACCTCTCCAGCACAAGGGCAAATTTCACGTTTTTTTTTTCTTTGCATACAGACATGAGCCCGTAGATGCGAAAAGCAATTTATAGAGAGATCCTTGTTTAAATGGCGTAAAAATCCAGCACCTGATTTGTTGTATAACCTGAATGAAGAAGTACCCTCCACAGTTACAGTCCTGTTCCAGTTCTGCTATGCCTCAGGAAGACTTACTGTGAAAGTAGGCCTCATACTATTTCGCAAACGGCAGATCTATAAACAGTGTATGTGCATGTAACACTCAGATTTGTATGGAGGATTCGGGCTGCCGCCAAGATAATCAGAAAGGTAAACTATGGCGATGACTCAGTGCCATCACTGCAGAAACAACAGAGATTCATCCAGGAGTTGTGGATGAAGGTTCTCATGAATTTTTATGCAGCATATCTAAGTATAGATTTAGGCTGGACTTTCTGCGTAGGGCAGCTTCTAAAACACTCACAGGAGCCAACATACATTATACATGACCTAATATGTATTAGAAACACGAAGCTTTGTCCTCAAACAGATACTTTATACACATTTAAAGTTTCATTGATTCTAGTTGTGAGTTTAGTAAGCTGTTCAGGGTAACTGTCTTACTCTTGAAAATAACCTTATGCTAAGTTCCTTTGGCTTTAAAAACATTTTTAATGCACACGATGACCTCATAAAGCTCCTTCTGACAGTATGTCAATGTTTCCATGTTAGCACATGTTGCCTTTAATGCCATGAGATCTGTATTAGCATTAGCTTTCGTCCCCCCTCTTTCACTTTAAAACATGACATCAATATGGGGATCCAGTGGACACAAACAGGGCACGCAAAAACGGCAGGGAGAATTCGAGGTGATCCGGGGTGTTTTGGTGATCAGCCGTCTTTGACTGTGGGATTGCAGCCCTAATAGGAGCAGTCCGGCGGGGGGGAGGGGCAGGCGCTCTGCCTCTGGTTCCACCCACGGCCAATCCGGCACGGCCAATTATCGGCGTGCCTTTGGCGAGCCTCGCATGTTCAATAGGGTTCATAACTACCTCTCAGCCAAAGACATGGGATGCTTTGAATGCCTTTTCATCATTTCTGTTGCACAAAAGTAAGTCGCAGAGCCAATGATGGAAACCTGGAAAGATAAACGAGCCGGTTAGCTGACGTGACCGAGATGCGGGGAACTTTTGGAGCAGAAGGGAACGTTTTGTTTCGGGTCTGCGAGGCTCCATGCGTCTGCCGGACGCTGGGGCGGCTCTTTCGTCGACTGTTTTTGTGCATTGAAAAAGTGGAAGGTGGTGTCAAGGCGGACGTCTCTTACACAGTGAGAAGGCAGTGTAAATACAATGACAATGTGAGTCAAAATAAACACCATTGGGCCAGAAGGATGTGCCTAATGCCACAATTCAAATGGAAAAATGCCTGACTAATGCATTTCTTTACAATTCCTCTGCGCTTCAAAGGCTATGGAATTGGGATGTATTCAACTCAGTGTTGGCTCAATATTGTTTCAGTGAATTGTTTTAGGCAGCAGTGCATTAGTGTGAACGTGCTCTGCCTTAAATATGCCAGCACCGTATTTAATTAATGTCAGAAATGAATTCTGTACAGTGACATGCAAACATACAGCAATGCAGTTAGTGTTACTTTGTGCTAAAATGACGCCTGAGAACAATCACATCATTAACAGGTGTGTTACTTGTTGCTATTTTGATAACGGCGAATCCATATCCTATGATTAACTTGTCATTTTTATCAGTTCAGAAATAACAGCTGTTAGGAAGAGACGCTAATGGCCCCTCCGGGATAACATGCGCATCTTATTTTGACTCACATGCACGTCTCATACACGTAGACGACTGCATGGCGTTCAGGGACCTCCGAGAAGGTAACCCTGAACAATGCAGCTCTCTGACGCTGAGCTCACAGTCACCTGGTCTTCAGCTGCTCCCGGCTGAGTGTACGTCTATTTGCATAATTAAATTTGTCTTCCAGAGGGATATGATATGCTGGAAGGCACCTCGTTGCTAAACGAGGAGGATAATTTAGAAGAGGACGACGATGGGAGCTCGCTGACCTATCAGGAACTGGAGTCGGTGCATGGGGAGGACGTGACGCGCAGCCAGCCCAGCACCAGCTCCACGGTGACGGCCGTGTCTGTGCCGCCGGCGTCGCCCCCCGCCTTCAGAGTGCCCCCCAGCTCAGCCCCAGCTCCCGAGCCTCAGGTCCCGCAGGCTCTGCAGGCCTTCAAGGAGTCGGCGGGCATGGTGGCGGCCTTCAGCATGCAGTGGAAGGACGAGATCTCGGCCATGCGCTGCGAGCTGGCTGAGCTGCGCCGGGACGTCTGCGGCGAGCTCAAGACCTTCAACAGCAACTTCTTCAACTTCACACGCTGCTACAACATGTGGGCCCTGTGCCGAGAGGGTGGGGCTGCTCCCCCCACCGCCCCCCCTACCGCCACCGCCACCATCGGTCGCATCTCTGTGGGAACACAGGCGGGCACCAGCGGCCTAGTCAGGCAGAACACCACAGACGCCTCCGTCATGTGCCAGCCCGAGTCGCTCCCCTTCAGCCCTGGGGATGTGGCGGACGCACCCCG